TCGGCTGTCGGAACAAGCTGATATTTACAATTTTCTTGATGCCATCTATGCTGTAATTGGATTTATCGTAATTGGATGGATCGTAGTTGGACCACTGCTGGTGGAAAAGTACGTTGAAGAAGGTTGGAACAAGGCCTTGCTGGCCATTTTCTGTGGCATGGCATGGCTCAGATTACTCACCAGTCTTCGAGGATACATGTGGCTTGGGGTCAGGTTCCTGCCCATCATTAAGGCAATTTTGGATTCAGCATCCTTCTTCTTCATCACTGGCATGTGTTTGTTGGCCTCCTCACACGCCTACTACCACATGGGCCCTCGAAACCCTGATCCACTGCCGGTTTTCTCTGCGCTTGTCATCCCGTTTCGACTTGGCATTTTGGGTGATTTTCACCTATTCGAGTTTGAAGGAAATGACAATGACACAAAATATATTGAAAAGACTGGCAAGAATGGCACATTTTGGGCACCAATGGACCCCGAACCAGGCGATGACCACTTCGCCATCATGTTGATTTTCTTCATGACAAGCATCGGCATTACACTTGTGCTCATGAACATGTTCATCGCGGTGCTCACACAAAACTTAGAGGTATTCCAGGGCATGTCCCGGCAGATGTTTATCAAGTCCAGGGCTAAAATGCTGAAGGAACTGAATCAGCGTCCTTGGAACAAATGTTTGTGCTGTTGCCCTAGCAATCGCTTGCCAGAAAAACCTATCGAAATTTACCCGGAGAATACTGGCATCCTATTTTGTATCCTGTGTCCGCTGACAGTTGTCTTTGGCTTTCAAGGCCGCATTTGGTTTTGGAGTCAATGCAAAAATACTTGGAGAACAGCAGCCGTGCTCTTGCTGTTTCCTGCGATGCTGCTTGTCTCCATCCTTTTGCTGATTTGCCGGATTGTTTTAGAACCAACTGGTCTTCAACATGAGCTGCGAGTCCTGCTTTTGGGCATTTACGGTTGGCAGCCGGATGAAAAGAATTCGCTGCAAGTCAAGGCCTACAGAGCTAAAGATTGTGTCATCCATGTCTTTGTCCCGGTCGAGCCCAGTGAAGAGCCAGCCAGTCAACGCGAGGCCTTGAGGGATTATGCGACTCTGAAGCAGGAGAAAGAAGCTCTGACACAGGAGAAAATAGTTCTGAAACAGGAGATTGCAACCCTGAAGGAGAAGAAGGAAACACAGCGGAAAGATCATCAGAAAGATGCACTTCATATGAAGGAACGCCAAAAGGAGTTAGAAGACGAATTGAAAGAGATAGAACAAGAATTAGAAGACACGAAAAACGAATTGGCAGCTGCACGAGAGCCTGATGGAAATGCTCGGAGGGAGGAGTAGCACAGAGCCTCGCCCGGATCTCGGATGTCATAAACGTTGGTTGTCTCAACGTCCCAATGTGGACCGTGAGAGAGCATCCTGCAACTTTAAAAGCTGGATTGTTGCAGGCGTTGGATGGAAAACACAGCACATTTACTGAACCAGCAAGACTTGTATGTTTTGCCACCTGATCAGCTTAGTTTTGCAGCAGATGGGTCACTGATTTCCCAGTTTTGTACAATCACGTCATGCCCCAGGCAGCGCAACATACTGGGCAGCCGGAGTCAAGGCTTCATCCCGACGCTTTGAGTGTCAGTGGGCCATCGGTTGTTATGGCATGATGAGGCTTTTAACCAGGGCATGATCATGACATATGTGATGGTACAATACAGTGCTTGCCACCTGGCATTTGTAGAGGAAGAGAAACCTTCAGGATTGCGCTAATGTAGTCCCTTGATTAATAAACCCCCCCCCCCCTCAACAGCCAAGGCCTCCAAAATAATGTATAAGAAAATCAATCAGTTGATAATTAAATAAGGAATCCTTAGCTAGCTACCTCTGGAGCTACTCTGGCAATATTAAATTAAAAGGAAATAAGAATTCCTAACTTTGAAGACCTCTGGCAATATTAAATTAAAAGGAAATAAGAATTCCTCACTTTGAAGACCTCTGGCAATATTAAATTAAAAGGAAATAAGAATTCCTAACTTTGAAGACATCTGGAATATTAATCGAATCTCAAGCAAATCTCCATCCAAAAGCCTCCAAAAGCATCAAATCTCAATGGAAATCTTCAAATGTTTAATGGAAATCTCAATCCAAAAGCCTCCAAAAGCATCAAATCTCAATGGAAATCTCAAGTTTTTTAATAGAAATCTCCATCCAAAAGCCTCCAAAAGCATCAAATCTCAATGGAAATCTCCAAATGTTTAATAGAAATCTCCATCCAAAAGCCTCTAAAAGCATCAAATCTCAATGGAAATCTTCAAATTTTCAATAGACATCTCCATCCAAAAGCCTCCAAAAGCATCAAATCTCAATGGAAATCTTCAAATGTTTAATGGAAATTTCCATCAAAAGGCATCCAATCTCAATGGAAATAACGGATTTTATAAAGAAAGTGCGCACTGACTTTTGGAAACTTTTGGAAA